AATTCACCAACCACAAACAAATATCACATGGAATTTTGAAATTCCATTCGAGAAGAAGAAAACATCCTAAATTTGGATGGAAAAGTAGGTGTATATATTTACATCGTGTGATGCTGGTCCTGTGACCTAGAAAGAGGTCTACCGTTTTTTTTTTTGGGATGAGCAATCAGAAGAAATTGGAGAATGGTGTGAAATTAGCGGAGTGAGGAAATCGGATCCATATTTATATAAGGTTCCAGACACATTTTCTAGAAAAAATGTTGTTTTCTCTGAGAAAAAAATTAACAAGTAACGAGAAGAGATATATTCCTTGAATATTAAGAATTCTGCACTCCCGCCGGACGTCCTGAGAACGTCTGCACGTCTTCGTTCCACCCGTTTCATTGGGAATTCATAAGAAAGAATCAATAGATGGGACCTCTTGAAAGTGAGGAACATGTTCATGTGCTTCTAATCCAAAGAGGCTCATTTCCTTCTTTTTCTTTGCCCCGTTTCATTTCCTCGTCATTTTCCAAGAGAATCTCATTCAAAGAACACATTTTGCAAGCCTCTGATTTTCACTCTCTTTTTTTCAGAATTCCAAGAAACATAAATCTGTGTCAAAACGACTAATAGATTTTCAGAGTTAGCGTTGTCAAGGAAGTAAATGTGGTTTTGGAGAATAAAGAAAAATAAATAGAAAAAAGAGTCAAGGTGAAATTGGAAAGTAGCAGAAGAAGAAAAAGAATTGAGGTCTCTATGAGAGTGGAATGAGAAGATAATTGAATCGAGTTGCACACGAGAGCTATACGAAATAAGTAGAAGAAGGGAGCAACTGTGATTGAGCTCTGACTAATGGAAGGGCTTTTAGGATATGAAATAAAAGTCAAGAAATCCTTTTAGGATGAAACGTATCCCGGTATACGGTAGATCTTCGATGAGTCATGATGGAAATAAAAAGACAAACAAATAATAACTAATGAGCTACAATTTCGTCGCAGGTCTGACTCATCCAATTACCGTACAACCTGTAATAGAAGAGCCCCCACACCATCACGATGGAGCTAAATTATCTCAGCTCCTATAAGAGATGACAAAAAATATGTCAACCAATTAAATGACAAGTTTTCTATATCTTTCACAGGAACAGAGATAAATTGAATCAAAATTAAAAGTTAGGTGGTCTTTTTATTACAGGCTTTACGGTAAATGAATTTTTTTAATTCTATAACGGCGGGGATTTCAGAGATGCGCCTGACAAAACTGACATACATTTTTTTGAAAATATTGAAACTTTTTAAAGTTCAAAGCTGAAAAAACAAAACAAATGAGATTTTCGCGGCAATTGAAAAGATGAAATATTTACAATTGAAGCCCTCCGAGAAGAGAAAATAGGAGAAAATAGTGTTTGGGGCGAGGGGTTCGGTCTATGAAACTTCTCTCCAAACATGTTCGAAAATCTCACTGAGATGAATAATAAATAGTCTACTACTACGTATAGAAGTTGTCACAGGAATAAACAATTAACCAGAAATTACAATTGTCTAAGGTTTTGACAAATGTCAGAGCATACTGATAGATCAAAACCTATTGAACATAGAATTTGAAAGTTTTTTTGGAGCCAAAAGCATATTAAAGTTGGATAGAGAATTCAGAAGAGGTGTGTTTGTAAACAGTTGCACCTCGAAGAAGGACACGTGGGTCCAGAATATTCTTTTTCAGAAAGAAGTGGGTCAGTATTTATTGCGAAAGTAGCACGTGGTCCAGTTACCATTATGCATTCAAACGGTTTGGGGAAAACAAAAAGTGTCTACCGACTTGAAGAAAAGGAAATATAAATATTCTTATCAAGGAAATAGAAATAGACAGTTTGATAAGAAGTGCTTTGGACAGTTAGTGGAGAGGGAAAGGAATTTTCGACCAAATGAACTTTCCGTTCATAACTAAAGCACAATTTTAGAACATTGATCTCTCAGGAACACGAAAGTTGGTTAAAGTTTTTGAGACTAATGAGGAAAAAAAGTTTTTTTGAAAGAAAGCGAGCCTACTAAATAGTACTCATTAGCAGTCTGGTCACCATCGCATCACTCTGTTTTTTTTTTCACCGAAAAAAGAAGCAAGGAACTTTTCTAGAATCTTATCTGAAATTCTAAAGTGTTCCACTTTTGGGCACGCGAGGATCTCTAAAATATTTAGTCGTTTTATTTGGCAAATAAAAAAAAAAGCCATCACTCTTCCGGAAATTGAAAGTGAAAGTAACCCTCTATATAAAAAAGGAGAAGGAAATTGGAAATTTAGAAGGAAGTAGGTCTTGAAACGAAAACATTCCGAGACGATGTTTAGAAGAAAAAAATTGGGAAGAGATATTTCTGTTTGGGAGGGCTCAACAAAACAATTATTTTCGTCCAAAATGTGTTGGTCCAGGAAGAGGGTGTTGGACAAAAAGAAGAATAGGAAACAGCAAAAACGAAAAACGTAATACAAGAGAAACAAGAGAAGAATGTGAGGGTGGGACACGGCGAATGGAGTTGTTGCACTCCTCACCACTTCCGTTTAGTACCAGCTGCTGTGTAGCTCAACGGAAGAACAACAATTCAGGTGATAGCCAGATGCTCTAATATTCCAAGTGCTGGAGTTTTGAAGCACGAAATTCTGAAGGTTGGGTTTCAGAAGGATGCAGTTTAACAATGAATCTGGCAACTGTTCAAAAATATATGTTTTCTCTCTTGATTGCAAACTTTTTCTCTCTTTTTCAGAACTCAGAATCCAAATCGCGGTTACGGCTTCAGAAAAGTTCCTTTTGGTTTCAGAGACTTGCAAAACCATATTTGAACTCAAGTTTCATAATGCCGTCCAAAATTATCAAATCTGGGATTTCTGGACCAAGAAAAGGAGTCTAAGCTGATGCCCAAATCACCAAGAATTGCAATCCTCGCTGGTTTCAACTGTGGAAATCTTGGGGATCTGGGTGTCACTTTGGAATGCTTTCTGGACCCAGAAATCCCAGATTTTGGGAACTTTGAACGCGCATTATCAAACAAGAACAGCTCAGTCAATCTTTGTACTGGGAATCCGGGAGCCTCTCTTAAGTAGACTGAAGATCAAACGTGTTATTTTTAAACCCACTTCTTTTGTTTATTTTTAAGTTCAAAGATTTTCTTCCAGAGACAAAAAACAATCTACACGTTGTAAACAACCAAGAGTCCTGAAAAATGAAAAGCTTTCCATATTCTTGAATCTTGAAAACTACCGTAACCACTAATATAATGCCCTCAAACTGTCGACTTGAAGCCAATTTATCTCGGTTCCTGTAAGAGATCTCAAAAGTGGTTAACTGAAAACATATTTTTGATAATATGCTAAATTTTGTCAGCTAATCACTTTTTGACATCTTTCACAGAAACTGAAAAACATTAGTTCAAAGTTGAAAGTTACGGGCCCTTCTTGTTACGGGTTTTGCGGTATATCTTTCAAGATCAACCTTCAAGGATATTTTTTTCCTTCTTTCCATTTCTAACTAAAAAATCATGCAACTATACATCACTTTTTATGAACATCGTCTGAATTCAATGGTCCTCCAACTTCTTCTCCCTCACCCAATTTGCATGTTCTTTTCCAATATATTCTCCAGGGACTTTAGTCTCTTCCACTCTCAAAAGTCAAAAAAGAATATACATTTTCTCGGTGTCGCAGCTCTTTTTCACCGAAAAGAGCAGGGGACCACTGTGGTTTTGGAGACTTGCTGGCTGACAATGACAGCTATGTGCCGTTTTCCGTTGGTTGTGCTATTTTCAATGAATTATTCACTCACCGGACTACTTTTTCACATGGCTTTTCGATGATGTGTCATGTGTCCTTTATGCGAAAAGGTCCTGAAAACTTTTGCAGGGAACGTATTCCAATTTTCAGTTTCTGGGATGATGATGGTACAGATCTTCAGATTATGCAAAGTACGAGTAACTGATTCAGATTTTTGTCGCTGTTTTCTCAGGTTTCTTGGTTTTTTTTTTGAAATTTGATGGAACTGTTTGCGTGAAGATAACTGTAGATCACTGTAGAGAACTTATTTCCTTTTGTAGTATTTTTTTTTGCAAATTTCCTGTCTGCATTTTGGCGTGATTGTGTTTGCAAAAACAACTAGAAAATTGAAGGTTTTCTACAGTAATCTTCGCGAACCCCATCCTGTCAAATTTCAGACGAAAAATTCGGAAAAATCAAAAAAGAATGACCAAAAATAATTGAAAAACCTAAAAAGGTCTAAAAATGTTGCAAAAAGTTGAAGAAAAAAACCCAATTTTTCTCTCGAGAATTAGCTTCAAAATGGGAATCCAGGATTTCAAATCTACAGAGCAAAATCGAATCTCTCTAAATTGTTTCCTGTTTCATTGATCTTTGAATTTCCGTTTCTTTTTTTTCCTATAAACTCCTATCAATCATGAGCCAAATGTACAAAGGGCAACTGCTCTACCCCACGTGGTTTCTTATAACGAGTGGGCGACAAGCCATCTGATTTTGTATTGAATTACGTAAGCAGCCATCTTATCGTTTTCTTCCCCCCATGTGTGATAAGAGCGGGGACTAGGAAAAGAATTGAAAAATCAAAATAAACTTGAATTGTTGTCTATAGGGGGTTTCCGGTAATTCGACAGAAAAAAGAGGAATTGAGTTCATATGGTTTGAAAATGTTCTGTATAGATCAAGACATTCAGAAATCAGAATCATACAAAAAAGTCGTTGTGAGGGGAGATGAGTGCAAATAGCAAATGCAAATAAAATGATACCTGATTTTTCAACAGTTCAGATTATGATTATAGAAGGAAGAGGAAGTGATTCCAGAATTAACAAGAATATATAATAAGGCAATTTGAAAGAATACATAAAAAGTACAAAAATAGAGATTTCTAAATGAGGGGTTGGCGATCAAAAAAAGGAGAGCAAAAGAATCGGGGTAGAAAATGTTGATTGGTAAGAAAAATACGACTGGGAGTAGATAAGATAAAACTGAAGTAGATATACTATATTTAGGAATAACCGTTAACTCTTCGTTTCTGGTTATTCAGTTCAAAGTCACCCGATTCGATATCGTTACGCGTAAATTCGGCGAGCACTTTGGCTGGTTGCAGAGGTCTTCGTTCGGATGCCCGTCTGAAACTTTTCGTGGGCTTAGAATTATTCTAGGAGGGAAAGTTGGTTATAAAAAAATTACCTAATGATAGCACTGTTTTTCTGTGGTCGAACTAGTGGCTGCTTCTTTGGAGGAGCCATTCGCCATTCGATGTTCAGCTTACGTCCGATCTGAACAAAAGAACGTTTGGAAAAAATCAGAGGAAACGATTCAGGCACTGGAGCATAAAACCAACTGCAATCAACATTGATAAACAGGAAAACAAGGAACATAACGACAAATTTGAAGACATTCAGAAATTATTAAATTTTTAATTGTTGTTTTGGAATGGAACATTTGTTATAGAATTTTTCCAATTTTGTTCAAAGAAATCAAGCCAGGAATGTTTTTTGGGAATAGGATCGCAAAGTTTTGTAAAATATGGATAATTATGAATTATGAACTTTATTAAATTAGTATATCCGATAACCTTGACACCTGTATTAGAAAGGCCCCCACACCGATAAGTTTGAGCTCAATTACCTCGCTTCTTATGCAAAATATCTGAATGTGTCAACTGACAAAAACACTTCTGATGTTATGATAAACAATTTATCAGTTGACATCGTTTTAATATCTTTGACAGGAGCCGAGATAAATTGGCTCAAAGTTAACATTTAGGGGACCCTTATAATACAAGTTTTACGGTTTTTCGTTTAATGAAACTTTCAAATATGATTCTAGTAAACCTTGATCGATAGATTGGAATTTTTACATGCTGAAAGCATATCTCTGTCAGCCCTAAAAATAGAAAATGAGAATTTAGAATATTCACATGCTTCTTCTCATAATTTTCTCTTCGTTTCAAAAACAACGTTGAAAAAAAACCACACAATATATATTTTTTCTCACCGGATCCATCCGTCGGACTGTCAAAATCAATGGCACTGTGAGTGGCACCGAGTGCCATCGCAGTTTCGACACGAGCTCGTTCTCGTTGAGCACACTATACATGAGTAATTTATAACTAGTCCTAGATCTCTCTGTATTTTATCCCCACACAAACCTTAGTACTGGCAATATATGCGGCTTTGACTGTCTGAACAACAGTATCCAGAAGATTTCGAGCAGTTTGAATGAGAGACATGGCCGAATCCAATGCAGAAACAACCATCTCATTTCCAATTTGGGTTATATCAGCTTTCACCTGAAAGAAAAGTTTTATAAAATTTTAGTTTCAAGAAATTTCATTTTAAAAACCTTACCTTACTACAAATATTCAATTGTTGGCAATACAAAGTGATCTTTGGTAAATATGAAAGCAAGTCTTCTTTCGTTCTCGAATCTACACTTGCATCTGAAATCTGCTTGGCCAACACATTCAGTTTAGAACCATTCAATGAGATTTCTTGAGCCGCCCGAATGACATCCATCGTTGTCTTCAGTGGACCGCATCCTCTGGTGAACTCTGTCATACTCATCATAATCTTGCACATATTGTTTGCCAGTGTTATAATATCATTTCCAGTTTCATCCCACTTTGCAACTTCTCTCTCGAACCGATTTTGTGTGACTCTGAAGATGTCGATTTGAGCCTGGATCTTCTGTTTCTCTTCCTCTGGTAAACGTCTCATCAAATTTTGCTGATTTTCTTGTTCTGGTATCGTTCGGTTGGCGTCTGAATTTCCAGCATTCGTACCTTCAACCTCGTATTCTACATCAGAATCAACATCGTTCATGCTACGATTCATCAGAAGAGCATGTCGAATATCCTTCACAGCGTCGTGTACCAAAGTGCATGCGTTTATAAATTCATTCATTTCATTATCCTTCTGATCGGCATCCCAAGTGAGACCGGTCGCTTCTTGCCGATAAGCCAAATTGCTGGCACGTTCTGCGAACTCATCCACTCGTTGAGTACGGAGAATTTTAACGGCTTGTTTGACGGTTTCTGTGTATTCCGAATTTCGAAGGAAATCCATTTCTGCGTCCACAACATCGCAGACTCTGAGTGCTCGTCCACGAATCGATCCAGCCGCGCAATCTACGACTCCACAATTGGCTGCATTATCTTCCGGTGTTGAGGCGTTTTCCTGAACGAAGACAACATTCAGATCTATTTTAAAATTAATTTACTCACCAGAATACCCTTTATTCCTCTCTCACAGTCTTCAACAATATGAGCCTCACTGACAGCGAGAAAATCGTCCAAAGTTGTGATGTTGTCCAGCGCAGTCGTGAGGAGACCAACTTTCTCGAACCACATATTTTTATAAGATTCCATATTTTCTTGAGCTTGTTTCGAAGATGGCTCGGCGCACAGCAATAGAGCTGATTGTGAAACTTGCGGAGCGAGTCGTTCAAGTTGAGAAGCCGTAAGTTGAATCACACTGATTCCCTCCTTATCAGCAGAAAGTTGACAAGAAAACCGGGCGACTTCTACGATCTCGTTGGCATGCTCTTGGAACATTTGTGCGCGATACTTTGTGTTCTCTTCATGACCTTCTTTCGCGGACTCGATTAGTAGAATTAAAGGAGTTCGGGTGTCGAGGAAAGCATCACTGATATGATCCACAATTGCACGGCGAAGGTGTCGTCGAAGATCTTTTGTTCTTTTGTGAACTTGAGCGATTCCAAGAGGTATATCATCCGTGAATTGCCTCTGTCCAACCTGGAAAAAAGTAGTGATGATGTCTGTACCGGAATCCTTTTCTTTAGAAAAAAATCGACTTGAGGTCAAGTCTCTTTAACAAATAAAAACAGTTGTTCTCGCCCAAAGAGACGAGGCGCCACACTTGAAAGAACACACGATTGTTTGTTGTTTGTTCACACCGTCCAAATCGTCCTTTTGTGAAAAAAGGATGCGCTTTTTTAGATTCTGCTTGTTAGGGTCAACTGGGTTAACTCAACTCCCAAAGATTAGAAATATTAAAAATGGAAAAGAAAACTTACAGATTTCTCGTACTCGGATAACAAGTCTTGAAGTGCTTGTCTCAAATTGTTGCATTCGTCGACGATCTTCTGTTTTCGTGTGTCACGAGTACTTCCAGAATCAGCGATCGATGCAGATCCGCTAACGATTTCTTCCACAAGTCCTTCCAGCTCTCGACGTGTCAGATGTCCTTTATAGTCTCCTGGCCTTTCCAATTCGATTTTATTCTAGAAAACATATAAATCAGATACCCTTTTTCTCACAAAAAACTCACTTGGAACGTTTCAATTTTGTCGATCAAATCTCCAATTCTTCCATACTCTGAGAATATGATTTCAGGTTGTTGTCCGTTGAGAACAGCTTCTAGAGCATTCAATGCCGAGTTCATTTCTTTCGCAGTGTAAGCTCGATTTTTCTGAGCTTCTTCGTGTTCTGGATGCCGTACGAAAGTTCTTTGAGATGTAAACAATAGTGGAGCAATCTGGCGAAGGGCAGATCGAGCAGCCAATAAATCATCTCGCTGATTTGGTTTCACCAAATCAACTGCTCTCCGCCGAACAGTAATGTCGAGTTCTTCAATTAAAGAGACGAGAATTTTGTATTGCTCATCTACTTCAATTTTGGAATCAGCTTCGAGCATTCTGTGTACTGTATCACGAAGCTCATCGACTTTATCAACAATTGTTTTCACATCGATCGAATCAGCGAGAATCAGGAACTCGGCAACGGCCTGAACATTTGAAAATTTAGTTTTTGAAAAAAGCTATTCAATACTCACAACAAGCAGACTTCTTCCTGATAAAGTTGCAACTTTCCGTTTTTCCGTGGACGTTGAATCTCTAACAAAATCTCTGCTTCGTTGCACCATGATTTGACCTGAAATTTTACATAAACATTTTATTTGTCGATCTCAAATGGATTGATTACCTTTATCTTGCACAAATCGGAGAGCTTCTCGCAATGCCTCGATGGAACGGGGGTCTTTATTGGCGATTGGGCATTTTGAAACAACAAAATGTCCGCTTTCAAGAAAATTCACAAGAGCCGCATCAACTGTATCAACGAGTCCTTCTGCGGTTTGTCCTTGTGCCAATGGAAACGTCTCTGTTATATTTGTCACTTCATTGATCATCTGAGTGACTTGTTTCAGCACGGCTTTGGACCGAATCCTATTGAAGTTTATTTCAGTGTCGCCATTGGCGTGCATTCTGAAAATTAGAACATTGAACGAAGGTAATTAACAGAAAATCGTTCAAAAAGAATCGGTAAAGAGATTTCGTATCTGGCAAATCAGAAAAGAAGTAAGTAAAAGCGCGAGAAACGGCTTTGAAAATTGAATATTCCGATTTTTTCAATTAAAAAGCCGTATAAATTTCAAAGACGCATCCTCGAAACTCTAATTTCGCTGGAACTTACCAACCAATAAACGATGTTCCTTTAAATTCTCATACGGTTTCTTTCAAAAAAAAAAAAACAGGAAAGATTTCCGGAAGATACTTTGTAAAATCAAATTTAAAACATATGTTTACTGAAGAGTAGAAACATTTTGCTCAATTAGGTTCAAATTAAACTAATATATTTCGAATAGTCTTTCTTTGAACGAAACAAATTCTGCCAATTTGAAAAAAAAAAACTGAAATTCCAAAAAATTGAAAAGCCGAAAAGTCATAAAATGCAAACTTGAGGTATTTGAAAAAGTATTTGCGATGCGAAGGGGGCGAATATGGGTATGGTGAAAACGATGCAGATGATGACGCATCATCAACCGGTGCGGAAGAGACTGTGAAATATGAAGAGACGGAAAACACGGAAAGAAACGATGATTCGGTCGATCGGCCGGTTGGTCAGTCAGCGGGTGATGAGTGAGCGGAGAGAAGGGTAAGAACGGACGAGCGGCGGGAATAGAGGACGAAGAGGCAAGGACACTGGTCAATGGAGGTTAAGGAGACGCAGGCGATGGGACGGACGGATGTAGGGACGGTCCTATTCGGGATGAGCAGCCTCGACAGATGGGGCAAAAGGAGAAGGAAGAGGACGAATTGAGTTTGTTTGCCCGACTCCCATGGATTATAAAATTGGGTACGTATGGCTGTGTTGGGGCAACAGCAGCGTGTGAGAGTGTGCCCCGGAAATGAAGGACTTTTATGGGAAAAGGAGAAGATAGAAAGGGGCAGAATAAGGAGGGACAACAAAAAAGTTTCCCTTTTGTTTTGACGTCTTCTCCCTTTATTCGGAGATTTCGGGGGATAATTCTGAACAATATGAGGAAACAGTCACTCATAAACAGGGCATCTTCTTCATGTCCTTCGGGATGGAATGAACATTTCTCGAGAATGAAACATCTGAAATTGAAAAAAAAAAGTAGGAACTGAGTCATCGTAAAGTTTTGAGTCACACTTTGCACTGAGCAGCTGGTTGTAAACTTTTTGACAGAAAGAATGTTAGAAATTCCTTGAAGGTGGAGAATCATAGGGCGCTGTCTGTGTAAAATAACTTTATGACCGCAATTAAAATCTTAAACGACCCATAAACAAAGGTCTTATGTGTTCCGCAAAATGGAATTTAAAAAAAAGAGTGTAATGTAGAAACATATTATTTGATAGATTCAGAAAATACAATAGTTGATTACCGTACTTGTTTTAATAGAAGCCCGCCCAAACCGTCCACTGTGAGCTCAATCATCTCGATTCCTGTGAAAGATATCAGAAATGTGTCAACTAATAAAATATTGGTGATATTATGATTAATACTTTATCAATTGACAAGTTTCTAATATCTTTCAAAGAAATCGGGAGAATTCAGCTCAGAGTTAACGGTTTGGGGGTGCTTCTATTAGAGGAAGTGCGGGAATTGTTATTCAGATTACTCTTCGTCCATCGAACACTTCTCATTTCCTATTTCTTCATCACTTCCTTCACCTCTCGTCTCCCTCTCTCACCTCTAATTACTGCATTCAACGTAATCCAGAGGGCATTCCATTTACGTCGAGCAGCTGGGGAAATACATTTCCATGGCAACCAAGACTCGCTTTCCCCCTTTTCTCGCCCATTTCTTCTCTTCTACTCTCTTCAGTTTTCTTGTTCCTACGCCTTCTTTCTCATATCACTATTTTTTGTTTTTAGTTTCTATCTATTAATCGTCTAGAAACTAGCCGAGGATTCTAAAATTTGTGGTATCGAAGTCTCGTAGAATGTCGGTCAACGACTGGTATTCGTTGTTTCTGGCGAATCGGCCAGTTGAAATGAAGCGGAGTGGTTCGATAGGAAAGAAGACGTCATGTTATTCAATGTACATTTCAAAGTTAAAATCCGCCCAGGTTTATATGAAACAAGTTGAATAAGTTTTTCCAAATGTTTCTGCAGGTGACCGAGAACTTACGATACCAGATTAGCGCCTTCTTATTCGACACGAAGACGTCGCAAATGTTTGGAAGACAGTGCAGGACTGAATGGAAACGGGCGGAACGAGACTCAACTTGTATTTTTAATGAGGTTGGAATCAAATAAATTATGTGGAAATTCATAAACATTTTCAGACACTTTACTTCTATTCAGAAATCAATGATAGGGATCTTCTTCTGATAATTGAGTTCGTTGAAGAAGGAAACGAACACATTAGTAAGTTGTTTTTTCTGTAGAAGTCTTTAACCAGAGATTTGTATAGATTTAGGTCCAGCTGTGAGTGTTGGATGGTTTTCTACAAGTGTGGAAAAGAAAAGAGCAGTGGAAATATCAGAGAACAGATCGTAAGTCTTTGAAGAGGCATTATTGAAATTCCGAGGGTTTTTTTCAGAGTTGAAATTTTCGGTGGAACTCCAAAACTATTAATATTTGATAAAGAAGCTGTTCTGAAACCAGTCGGAAATGTAGAATGCAGCTACAATATCCATGAAATGCCCCCATTTTTCTTCCAAACAATCCCCGAATTTTGTATTGTCTGTGACAAAGATTTGATACCTGGAATCCTGAAAGACTGCTCGGATGGTAATTGTTTCGATTTTTTAAAAATCGTATTCCAATATTTTTCAGATGAATGGTTGAGTACTCCAAAAGAAATGCCAACAATTCCAGCAGCAATTGATGCAATAGCAATTCAATTCAAGAATAATGTGCCAGAATTGGAAAGACAAATAACGAATGATATTGAAAGAGAATGGGCACTAAAAGATGGAGGAAATCACAAACCGAAAGCAGTTATTATGGACAGAAAATTAAAGGTGAGGTTTAAATACCGTATTATTTTTCCCTGGTATAAGCCATACCTAGAAAAAATTGGGCCATGACCTAGAAAAAATTGGGTCATGACCTAGAAAAAATTGGGTCATGACCTAGAAAAAATCAGGTCATGACCTAGAAAAAATCGGGTCATGACCTAGAAAAATTAGGTCATGACTAGAAAAAACATTTTCGAAGAATTCTGGAAATCCAAAAATTCGAAAATTGAAAAAAAACACTTTTTTAATTTTCAGAGTTTGGAACCCAAAAACCATAAAATTTTGGAAGTTTAGTATTCGGAAATTCTGAATTTAAAAGTCTGGAAATCCTATATTTCATAAAATGTCAATTTTTTTCGATTTCTGAATTGAAATAGGTGCATATGTGCATTTTGAGCTTAATTATCTCGATTGCCATAAAAATTATCAAAAACCTGTCAATTGGTAAATTATTTATCGTAATATTACTAACGTTTTATCAGTTCACAATTTTTTCGATATCTCTCATAGAAAACCAGATAATTGAAGTCAAAGTGCACATATGGGTTGGGCTTCTATTAAAGCAAATACGGTACATATTTTACAGTTGTTTTTTCAAAACCAATAAAAAATTACTTCAGATTGGAGTTCATAATGGATACTCGTATGTCACGGAACCATTCACAGTTGATCTAGAAATCATCAATGCAAGTTCTAATGGAACTTTAAGATCTCGAAAGAAACCTATTGATTTCGGAAAATCATCAAACTGGGGAGAGTGAGTAATTTTCTATCAAAACCTATACAAATAATTAAACTTCCAGGCAACTGGTATTCCAAGCCACTGGAAACCCACGATTAGCACTTCGAAATCTCTACGCTGATCCTCGAATGGCTATCATATTTCTTCTGGAGTACACATTTCATCGCGAGGATAACCAGAGCCTAAATCAAACGATACTGATTGGTTGGGCAGCTTGGACTCCGTTCTCCGATGATACATACACTGGAAAAGAAGTTGAGACGCGGGTTAGCTTCGTTGGAGGTCCCCGACCAAATCCCGAAGGTGTCCTTTGCTACAAGAATGTTCTGAATCAACCAGATTCGTTGAAACCGTTGAGTGAGAAATTGGAAATTTTTGTGGATTTCAAATTCTATGAAAATGGAAGAAGTGTTCATAATACTCCAACGCCCAGAAGATCAGATTCTGCAAGAGTTCCAACATCCAGATCCACTGAAAATGTCCACTCGAGTAGATCAAAAGGAAGTAGAGCGCAGATAGAAACGCCCAAGAGTTCCGTGCCTCCTGAGAGATTCCCTGCTCTTGTTGATACTGGAAGATCAACTTCTTCAATAGATGAATTGAAATCAATCAACGAAGAATTGGATAGATTCATAGAAGAACCAACGGAAATTCCTATTGAAGAAATTGTGGTTGCCAAAAAGGCAGTAGAAGAATCTCTACCATTGACTTCAGTCTATAAAATTCCGTTTGAAGATATGAGAACTTCCAACTTCCATCGTTCAGTTCATTCTATGTTTGCGAGGTTGAATTTCGTTCAACTAAGAGATAGAAATGGAGAATCCCCAAGTACTGACGATGTCACTTCAAAATCCCTGATTGATATGAGAAGAGAAAGGCTGGATAGATTGGATAATGCACATATATATTTTCAGTTCGTGGCTTTCAAACAGTACGTTTTTTAAAACTGATTTCCATCTTTATCGAAATTCAATTTTAGACTGATATCTCTTGATGCTGTGCCATCCAAAAAAGTATTCTTCACTATCAACTTTTACCGGTTTCCTGAAATAACAACTGAATCAATGCTGCTGGAAACAATGGAAAAAGGAGAACCGAATCTTCTCAAAAAACTTGACAAAAATGGAGCTGAAGACGAGTCAGCTCCACCTGGATTCATTGTAACCTTAATTCTAGATATTTAAATCTCAAAAAGTTTTTATTTCAGGCAAAGTACGTAATTGAAGGAGAAGAAAGCAAATTGGATTTTTTGGATTTCCTGGCATCTGGACATTCTTGTATTGATGTCTGGGATTCAGATTCTTTGATTCACCTGGGATCGACTATCGTACCACTTCGGAATTTGTATCGAAGAGGAAGGGAAGCAGTTCAGTTGTTTATACAATGTCCAGTAGTGGATACCTCATTAGATGCGGGATCCAAAGCAGGATCTGTGCTCTATTTGAGAGTGGCTAATATAGGATTACCATCAGGAAACGGTGAGCTGTTTGAAATCAAATCAAAATATTTATTAAATTAGAAAAATAAATAGAAGAATTAGATAAATTAGAAACAAAGTTAGTGAGCCCAAGTCTCAGTAACAAGCTCGTATACTGGCTCTGGCCACTCGGTAGCTGTCTCCACTTCTTCTGGCTTGTTCTCAGTTTCTGGAGTCTCGATGTTCTCAGCAGTCTCAACTGGAGCAATATCTTCTGGGACTTGTTCAATTTGTCTAGCTTCTCTATGGACCTTCTCGGCGAGCTTGATCTTGAGAGTTTGGAGAGAACGACGCTTACGTCCTCCTCCCCCGCAACCACAGCATCCACATCCGCATCCGCATCCACAGCAGCATGGGCGGCAACAAGTGCAGCAGCGGGTACAGCAGCAAGTTCTCAAAAGGTTTGGGATAGAGATACAGGAATACTATGTACAAAAGCTTACCTGCAACAAGTGCAACATCTTCTGCAACAGCAACAACAACGTGGGCGGCAACAGCAGCATCCGCATCCACATCCACATCCACAACATCCGCATCCTCCTCCTTGACGTTTCACTCTTCCATTCGGTTTTCCAAGAGTATCAATAGCAGTAGTTTTTCCTTCTTCTGGGAGAGCAACTTCTTTAGTTTCCACACTTTCATGAGAACCAGGTATAGCCACTTCGGTGGATTCAGCAGATTTAACTGTTTCTCTAGAACTCAATGGATGAGCTTGAGCCAAGTAGGCAAAGCCAAGGATAGAAATGAGTCCTAGAGAAAAGCGAATAGAGGATTGCATGATGAGAATGAAAAGTTATTGGAACTGATAGAACTTCTCACCGCGTGCGTCCTATTTATACAACTTTCGGGTGCCGGAAGCCTTCCGGCAGATCCTGCGCACGTCTTGTTTGCACATGTTTGCTTATCACCTTATCCAAATCATTAATATGTCAAAAACTTGCAGATCCCTCCTCCACATCTGTGTCTACCATCAGAAGCAACATCAACTCGCAACGTGGTACAGTTGTCCGTCGACTGACGTCAGCGTCGAACCGGTTGAATGAAGAAGGACCACATTCGTACCGAGTGCACGCAAAACCGCTACCAGGAAACAGCGGAATTGGGCTGGATCGCTTTTTGGCAGCTCAGAGATTGGATATTCAACAGAGACATGAACAGTTGTTCGCTGAGAATAGTTTGGAGAAAATCCGACAATGGAATGAATTGAAAGAAGGATTCGAATTGTCGGATAACAAAGGAGCAGCGCAGAAATTCATATTTGAAGAAGAGCTGGCAGCTTACAAGAAGCTTCGGTATGAAAGTAAACCAGCGAAACTTCTAGAAGCTGTTTTCAAAGGTATAGTCCATTTTTAGATTTACCAAAAAACTCATTTTTTAGGAATCACAACATGTCACCAAATCAATCCATCATTCGGAGAAAAAGTATTTTTCGAGTTCCCACTAGAAAATCCACATTTCGAACCAATCAACTGCACCATTGAGTTTGATGATACTGCCCTCCGACCAGTTTTTGACGAAGAAGAATGGAAGTTTTTCAGAACAATCAACAAAATAAATACGCCTTTCGAGAAGGATATGATGAGAGAAACTAAAGAACGAATCGAAATCTATCTGCAACCAGGAGACGTGCTCTTCGTTCCGTTCATCTACGACGCCTTCTATTTCCCTAGTGACCATTTTAGTATGTACTCGACAAAAGTCGTTTTCCGAAGGTGGGATACAAATGAGCCTCTTTCTATTTTGGATCTTCATATTCATCGAAGAAGTTACCTACTCCAACACGCTGTTACATTCATTTGTGAGACTTCGGGAAACTGGGAAAAACAATTATTGCTTCCGCCCATGGCTAGAGATAGAAGAGTGAATTCGGTTAGGTGTTCGGATCCATCTGTGAAAGTGTCTATTCGGAATGCAACACTCCAACAGATCATCGGATTCACAACGTATTCTGGAGATACCAACGATCGAAGAACATTTTTGTTGATGATGTATACGGATCATTATCAGACTAGGCTGGTTTCTGTTTATTTGATTGAAAAGTGAATGTGGTTTTCAGACTTCTGGCTACATGGAAAGTAACTATTCTCCCATTTTTCAATGTTGATGTTCGAAGTATTGTTGGTCAAACCACCCGACTACATCTTTTGGTACATAGAAGAAGGTAAGATCTTATAAAAGTTTGAAGTATTTATTAAAATGAGGGAATTAAAGTTCGTTTTTTAATGTATACAAGAGAAGAGTCGATCGCAGAATCTAGACACTAGAAGCCACACCCACTCCTCAAGCCCACTGTGCAAAGTACTGACGGGTCTTTCGATCGTACGTAGTTGGAAGATAACAGTCTTTGGTAGAGCAATAAAGCTCTCGCCAATCTTTGAAACGACGATCCCAGTACTTTGGAGTTAGCCAGTAAGCATCAAGAGTAGTGTGGTTGATTAGACCTGCAAGTATAAATGAATGGGTGAAACGGTATCATAAAATGGCTCACATTAATATCTAGTGTAGAGATAGAGCGGCGAGAAAGGATTAGTAGTACCGTAAACAGCCAAATTGTTCTAAAACAGAATCAGGGCATTGTCGGATAATAAATGGGGCACTGCCCTGTCTCTACACTACCTTAGACAGCGGTCAATACCAGTACAAACCTGCCTTGTACATTGAGAGACCGCGGGAGAGAGAAGTGCTCAACGAGTCCATCAAGTAGGATCTGAAATTTCAGAATAAAAAAAAAAAAAACTAAAATCCTAATTCCTACCTGTACGGAGAATAGGTATAGTTCAAATAGCGATTGAATGCTGGGCTGGTATAACGACGGTAGTAGGATGGGTAGTCGTAGTCATACCAGTATCCCTTGTAGCGAGTCCAGTAAGATCCATAGTTGTTCCAGTAGTATGGGTTTGGAAGGTAGTCGCTGTAGTAGTATCTTCTGCTTGGAGTGTAGGTACTACGGTAGAGTGGAGAGAAGTAGTAGTACTTGTCGTACCAGTAGTCGTCGTACTGAAAATTTCTAATCAGAACATCTGAGCTTCCTTTGTTTTTTCCTACTAACCAAGTCCCAATCACGACGCCAGCGGTATGGAGTCGATTGCCAGACGGTGTGCCATTGTGGACGGTACTTGTCCGAATGACGGAAGTGGGCAGTCAAGTCTGGAACCGACGAAGTGCGGGTGACCTAGAAAAAAAGTTGGCATTTGTTGTTGTTATTTTCACACGTGATGCCTGTCGCCCCCTCTTGGTGCTAAATGATCCCCCGAGATGATGAGTTAGATGAGAGTCAATAATGTTGAAAGTAGTGTAATATTATTGGGAGAGAGAGAGAGAGAAGAGAAAGAAAAGGTTTTTGATCAGTTTGGTGAGATAATTGGAGGTCGTCTGAGTTTTTTGGGACTTACGTAGAGACGAGAAGTTGGTTCAACCGAGCGAGCACGAACCATGGCGCTACGAGAGCGCACCAACGCGTAGTCGGTCATACTGTAATTGGGAAAACTCAAGTTAATAAGAAAGATAATTAGGTTAAACGAATTAAAAGTGTACCATAATTGGTTTAAAATCTTAGGATATACGTAGCTTCCAGCTATAGTTGGAAGCTCTCTTCCGTTATATTTTGAAGTACCGTAAAAACTGTAATAGTAATTTAATTGAAATTAGAAATTGACACAAATTGCTACAAGGCGCAAACTGACGAATGACTGCTAGTTGGCAGCCGAAGGAGAACCGGCGGGCCGTCGATGGACTGCCGACGGATCATCGGAAGCTCTTGGAAGAAATACTTGAAAGTTTTGATTGGAAATCAGTCAGGTAGAATTTTTCTGTGACTGAATTTCAGATACAGGATTTTAGGGAACTCTCCTAATTCAGTCGTGGGCTGATTTTATAGTTTTTGTAATTTTTAGAAGAAGTTGATCGAACGGTAACAAAATAGGTTTCAGAATTTCATATGATTACTGATTTAGCTTCACATCTAAATTTTAAAAAGGATAAAACTATATTGTTAGATAGAATTGGCAAGAAATTATTCTGAAGTTCCTAGCGCGCCTTCTTTAGTAGTGTTAGAATTAGAAACTTCTCAAAAATGAAAAAAAAAAGAAACTAAACCTGGAAACCATCTGGCAGGCGCCTGAGTCGGTCTGAATGGCAGATGCGTGTGCTCCCTTGTCCCTTCTTCGTTTTTTCTTTATCTCTTCCTAAACTCTCCTCGATGCTCGAAATCTTTTGCGAAGGCGGAGGAGGATGTGCCAGTTGTTTGGTCCTCCCGCGGGATCGAGAAAGAGAAGAAAACAAAAATAAAAACGCTTGGATTCCAACACCTGGTTTCTTTTTCTACTGAGCTCTTGAGATGCCAAAGAGATTCTGTAGAAAACAACACATACAAAAACAGAAATAGATGAACAACAAATACAGATTGGGGGAGAAATTACGTTCGTTTTTATCTATTAGTCGTTACTTTTTTTAGTGAACACGATGGTGTGCCGGATGATTTGCTGAAAGTGTACACTGCCTCTGGATGTATGAAAGTGGTGGAATCAGTGCTTACTGTAAGGACGCCTACGGCCACGATCGATTTCACTCCAAACTTCATTGGTAGGTTATTATGGACACTGTGGACCACAGGTTACACTATTACGAAATTATGCCGCGTTCCAAGTTCCTAAATATCATACTTGTGAAGGGCCGGGCCGAAACACGAATTTCACCGGCCCGGCCCGGCCCGGAGGCCCGGTCAGCCCGGCCCGGTCGGCCCGGAAGTTTACCGCGAACTTCAAAATCTTGAGCGAAAAGTTGAATCATTGTTTCGAAAAAAGGTATTCAGTGTTTTTTTTCTTCGAGTTTAAATACGATGCTCCGAAATTCCGCATTCGCGGTGTTTATCGCTTTGACAAAAATGGCGGCTGTTTAAATTCATTTTTCAAAAATTTTGTTTTTTTTCTGCCGGGCCCTGAAAATTTTCTCTCGGCCCGGCCCGGGCGGGCCGGGCCGGGCCGAAATTTCACAAGTATGCTAAATATGGTATTTCTGGGATCAGAGTACCAAAGTGGCGACCAGATCCTCGAGATTTCCTATTCGAACAGTCTAAATAATTACACCCCTAGCACGCCGAGACTTCCCAAAAATTTTTGCGAGGAGTAAAAATTGTTTTTAATTCGTAAAATGCTCTAGGGGGGTACGGTCATACATACAGGTTTCAACTCTACGAATTGGAAATCTTCGGGATCCGCTTAGGATTGATTTCTTGACCCAGAAATCCCAGATTTGAAAACTTTGAACGCGGCATTAGAAACCAGTTTTCTAAAAATTTAAAGTACGGAAGGGTTCAATTTTATTGAGATAACAACAAGAATGAAAGAAAACTCAAAAGCGCCAAATAACTAACTAAACTGAAACTGGAAGATGATGATCCACACTCTTTGAGAGGCGTTCCGCATAACTGAAAACTTTTATTTTTAGTTCATTTTCCTAAACATCCAACTCACAGTCATCATTTCTGAAAGATCTGAGACGGTCATGTTGTCAAATGCAATTGCCAATTGAGAAACTTCACAAGGATCCGGACAACGAGAAAGGGGAATTCGATATGGATCAGTAGTTGTGTCATTTCGGTAGTAGAGCTGAAATTGATTGATTGAATTTCAGAAATTGGAAGTTCTCTAACTTCAGAATAGTATTTTCCATTATCAGAGTATACATGCATGATTAGAGCAGCTGCATACGGCACCATCATGTCATTTGATGCTCGGAACGCGTTCAGAAGAGCCAGAAGAACGCCATCGTGCTGAAAGTGAGATTGAAATTTGTGATTAAAAATAGGGGTTATACCGAAGAGTACAATAACATCCTTTGATCATTTCTGCTCTCACTAACTGCCACTGCATTCTGAATCCAATTATTGAGAACTGATCCTCCTTGAAGTTTTCCTTTCTCCTCGGAATTGAACAAATTCATCATTCGAGTTGTTCTCATCTCTGTTATAATGTCCATGGATGATCTGTTATTGTATTGACTCCAAGTTTGGGACACCCAGGCTGGTTGTTTGGCAGTCATGTTATGAATCAGCTCCCTCTGAACATCAAAAAGTCCGTTGATATCTAGATAAGAACAGTTTTTGAATCCAGTGGTTTGGGATAGTTCGCTGAAGAAATCGGCGTATTTCACATCGTAAATCGCTTTTGATTCTTGATCGCCTTGATTAACAAGCGTTTCATGACGAGCGCATTTGATGGCAGTTGGCTTGCACACCTGAAGAAGTTATTGTAGTCTCTGATTATGTACTCCTCCGGAAATAACTTTATCAGTTCTTCTTACGTAAATAGGCTTCTAATCTTTTGCTTTACTCTGACGCATCAGAGATAAGCAATCATGAGAACAACTGTACATTGGAGGGAAGCCTACCAGATCAGGTTGTCCTGGAGTTGAAGCATGTACTGGAAGAGGTTGCCAATCAGTATCTGCGCTCCATTGATAGCCTCCAGCAGCAGGATACAAACCGTAAAGAAATGCTTGCGCGGAGACTAGAGCACGATCAGAATCTGATGAACGGAGGTATACCTAAGCAGAAAAAAATCATCAGAATTGTGTGAATGAGAGCTACCTCTTTCACAGAAAAGTTAGCTGGAATGAAACCTGTGTCTACGTATTGATGTCTGAAAAACTCTCCCAGCTCGTGAAGTTGTTGCATTCCAACCTGAAAAAAATTGAGAAAAAATCTTCAGTAACTAAAACTCACTGATGTCAACTGTCCCCATCCTCTGGACCATGACTTTTCGGTATATAAATCATTGGGATACGGTAGATGGAGTGGAGCCCGATCTCCATGCCTCCAAAGTGCTTGAACAAATTCTAACCGTCGAGTTTCAATAGATGAGAGAATGGCAAAGAGCAGCAATAGTTTGATCATTCCTCCTGCAAAAAGAAAACCAAAAAGTGGGAATACCGGGAAAAGATTCAAAAAAAGGAGACTCGCGAGTTCTCATGTGCCTCTATCGAGTTACATACAAGAATCGCACGCTCATCTAATGACGGAAACTCGGATTGACGCTGACGTCGTCAGAGAAATTGAGACGCGTCTGTTCCGAAATAGAGCAAAAGTCCGTCTGTTTAAATTTCAGAAAAAGAGGGCGGAGCCAATTATCAATTTTATTATCAGTTGTGAATAGCCTCCCACGGAAAACAATAAAATACATTTTCGATAAGTATGGAAACAGGTTTTCAAAGTTCGGAAAAAAAACGGCCCGGAAGTGAAAAATGATAATACGAAACTCATGGAAACCAAAAAAAGTTTTAGAGAATTACTACTGTAACATAGTACTTATAATACATATGATTGTTCTCTAGAAAGACTTGTGGGTTCTTGGTGCTTTTTAATCGTCTTATTTTTCATCTAATTCTTTTGTATTTGCCCACATCAGAGCCAAAAAAAATGAACGTAAAGTGCAGAGTATAGTTGCAAAATTAGACCGCATTCTTCCACGTGCAAACCGGAAAACCATTCAGCTGTGAAGAATCCAGAATTCATGACAAATTCATGAAACCCTACCACTGTTTTGCCTCATCCGATTAACCCAAAACCTTCTCCTCCCACCCATCCATTTTATAACCTCAAAATATTTTATTTCAGGAACAAAGAAGTTTGTCGTTGCTGTCGTTAATAGTAATACGTTGAAGCTGGAAAGAGGTTTTCTGGTTTTTGGAAAATCTGAAGCACCACGGATAACTCAAAAGTATATCATGAATATTCCAGCGACCGATGAAGCCGTTCGAAGAGTAAGTTTGTGGGATTTTAGCAGTTTAATTACAAAATTGGGATTACTGTAGAAAAACCTATACTACCGTGAAAGCTCTGTTAGAAGGGGACTCCAATTACCGTAAAACCTTTAATGGAAGGGCCCTCATTTTTTAATTTTGAACCAATTTTTCTCTCTGTTTCTGTAAAAGATGCCAAAAAGTTATCAACCGATTAAATGTTTGTCGTCATATCATAAGTGTTTGATAAGTTGGCTGTTCAAATGGCCTTCTATGAGAGTGTGTTACGGTAAACAGTGAACTAAAGAATTTTCCAGACCTCACTTTTTTCGGGGCTATATGAGTTGAGGGGTGCCACTCAAAATTTTGATTTTTACGCCATTTTTTCCACACTCGCGTGACATTCCACATTTTTAAAAATATTGCTTTTCCGGAAATTTTTTCGACGTTTTTTTTTTTGAAAAAAAAAAACTAATTTTTGACGTCAATTTTTTTCACTTTTTTTAACCATATTTTTTTCAGAATTCTTTTTTTACGTAAATTGAACTTCCGCGCAAAACTACTTTTTGCCGACTTTTGAGCCTACTTTTTTAGGGCTGACTTGACTTCTAGGGGACTTTTTTTCTAAGCCTGTTTTTGAGGTCTGCTTTCTAATGACTGAGCCTACTTTTTGAGGACTGAGCCTACTTTTCGAGGGCTGAGCCTACTTTTTGAGGGCTGAGCCTACTTTTTTAGGGCTGACTTGACTTCTAGGGGACTTTTTTTCTAAGCCTGTTTTTGAGGTCTGCTTTCTAAGGACTGAGCCTACTTTTTGAGGACTGAGCCTACTTTTCGAGGGCTGAGCCTACTTTTTGAGGGCTGAGCCTACTTTTTTAGGGCTGACTTGACTTCTAGGGGACTTTTTTTCTAAGCCTGTTTTTGAGGTCTGCTTTCTAAGGACTGAGCCTACTTTTTGAGGACTGAGCCTACTTTTCGAGGGCTGAGCCTACTTTTTGAGGGCTGAGCCTACTTTTTGAGGGCTGAGCCTACTTTTTTAGGGCTGACTTGACTTTTAGGGGACTTTTTTTCTAAGCCTGTTTTTGAGGTCTGCTTTCTAAGGACTGAGCCTACTTTTTGAGGACTGAGCCTACTTTTCGAGGGCTGAGCCTACTTTTTGAGGACTGAGCCTACTTTTCGAGGGCTGAGCCTACTTTTTGAGGGCTGAGCCTACTTTTTTAGGGCTGACTTGACTTCTAGGGGACTTTTTTTCTAAGCCTGTTTTTGAGGTCTGCTTTCTAAGGACTGAGCCTACTTTTTGAGGACTGAGCCTACTTTTCGAGGGCTGAGCCTACTTTTTGAGGGCTGAGCCTACTTTTTGAGGGCTGAGCCTACTTTTTGAGGGCTGAGCCTACTTTTTTAGGGCTGACTTGACTTTTAGGGGACTTTTTTTCTAAGCCTGTTTTTGAGGTCTGCTTTCTAAGGACTGAGCCTACTTTTTGAGGACTGAGCCTACTTTTCGAGGGCTGAGCCTACTTTTTGAGGACTGAGCCTACTTTTCGAGGGCTGAGCCTACTTTTTGAGGGCTGAGCCTACTTTTTTAGGGCTGACTTGACTTCTAGGGGACTTTTTTTCTAAGCCTGTTTTTGAGGTCTGCTTTCTAAGGACTGAGCCTACTTTTTGAGGACTGAGCCTACTTTTCGAGGGCTGAGCCTACTTTTTGAGGGCTGAGCCTACTTTTTGAGGGCTGAGCCTACTTTTTTAGGGCTGACTTGACTTTTAGGGGACTTTTTTTCTAAGCCTGTTTTTGAGGTCTGCTTTCTAAGGACTGAGCCTACTTTTTGAGGACTGAGCCTACTTTTCGAGGGCTGAGCCTACTTTTTGAGGACTGAGCCTACTTTTCGAGGGCTGAGCCTACTTTTTGAGGGCTGAGCCTACTTTTTTAGGGCTGACTTGACTTCTAGGGGACTTTTTTTCTAAGCCTGTTTTTGAGGTCTGCTTTCTAAGGACTGAGCCTACTTTTTGAGGACTGAGCCTACTTTTCGAGGGCTGAGCCTACTTTTTGAGGGCTGAGCCTACTTTTTGAGGGCTGAGCCTACTTTTTTAGGGCTGACTTGACTTCTAGGGGACTTTTTTTCTAAGCCTGTTTTTGAGGTCTGCTTTCTAAGGACTGAGCCTACTTTTTGAGGACTGAGCCTACTTTTCGAGGGCTGAGCCTACTTTTCGAGGGCTGAGCCTACTTTTTGAGGGCTGAGCCTACTTTTTGAGGGCTGAGCCTACTTTTTTAGGGCTGACTTGACTTCTAGGGGACTTTTTTTCTAAGCCTGTTTTTGAGGTCTGCTTTCTAAGGACTGAGCCTACTTTTTGAGGACTGAGCCTACTTTTCGAGGGCTGAGCCTACTTTTCGAGGGCTGAGCCTACTTTTCGAGGGCTGAGCCTACTTTTTGAGGGCTGAGCCTACTTTTTGAGGGCTGAGCCTACTTTTTGAGGGCTGACTTGACTTCTAGGGGACTTTTTTTCTAAGCATGTTTTTTAGGTCTGCTTTTTAAGGGCTGAGCCTATTTTTTGGCCACTGCAAATATAACTTTCAGGGGGTAAATTTGTAGGTGAATATGTATCAAAAAATCGAAAAAACCTTTCAAAAAATTCACGTAAAATATAAAATTTTCACGAAAATATTATTTTTCTGGAAATTTGTAAAAAAGAAATCCGGCCACTCAACACTTTTAAAAAATAAAAAATGTCACGCAAAAAGTGAAAAAATCGCGTAAAAATTGAAAAATTGAGTGGCACCCCTCAACTCATATAGCGCCTTTTTTTCTTTGATACAGTTGAAAACTTCCAAGGTTTTCCCTTTTTTTTCAACTCTAACTATTTTCGTGACCTATACGTAGTTTTTCATTGAAATTTTGAGAACATTCTGACTTTGTTTGGGTTTATGACCCTTTCCGTGACTGAACTCTTTGCTTTATACCAAACACAAATTTTCAGAAAATCGCTATTCGAAACCCATACGGTCTTCCAAAAACGTTCCGTATCACAACATCTCATCCGGAATTGTGAAAATCACCGATCAATTGATGTCGGTTCCCCCAATGGGTAAACTTCCGTGTGAGATGTTCTTTGTCAGAAATTCCCATCATCATCAGAATATTGAAGTAGGTCTTATTTCTATTTGAAATCTAAAGAATTCTCCGTTTTTCAGACACTTCTCTACATTTCGGATGCTGAGACGTATGTTCAGGAAGAAGCATATTCCCTGACTTTAGACTTTGAAGCTTCATAGATCTCAAAATTTTTCAAATAGTTTTTTTATAATTTGTCATATTTCTATTCCGGTTTGTACTGTACTCAAAAAAATCGAATGAAAGCGAATAAAAAATTCTTTATTGTATGACTCTTTTGGCTCGAAATGAAATGACGACTCAACCGCTTGAAGGCTCGACTCAAACCCGCTGATGCTCGATTTTTGAAAGATGCTCGTGTTTTGAATAAATGAAAAAGAATAACAATGTGAATGTGAAAAGTGAAAAAGAAGAAGAAAGAAGTGAAGAATCAGCAAGATGCAGTGTCTCGCTTTTACTTCTTTCCGTAGCTGTTTTGGGCGTGTCCGGTGCCTCCGGAGTATCCACCGGTACCGGCAGAGTAGCTGGCTCCTGGAGCATTGGATGGGTTGTGTGATGGGGCAGAAGCGTAGTTCTCCTGAAATGAGGAAGTTCTAGAATTGTTCTTTCAACTAGAGTAGTAGCCAATTACCTTTGGAGCGTTTCTGTCTGGGCATGGGCAGTAAGCGGCATCGTCTCCGATCTTTCCATCGACTCCCGGCTTTCCTTCCTCTCCTGGTGGTCCACCTGGTCCTTGGAATCCGTTGATTCCGTCTGGTCCTGGGGCTCCTGGTGCTCCAACTGGTCCATCCTTTCCGGCGTCTCCTTCTGGTCCTGGGTGTCCAGAATCTCCTGGTGGTCCTCGTGGTCCCTTTCTTGGCGTTGGTTGCTCGACATCTTGTCCCTTCTCTCCATTGGCTCCTGGCTTTCCATCGTCTCCTGGTGCTCCTGGTGGTCCCATCTCTCCTGGGCGACCTGGATATCCATCGGATCCTGGTGATCCTGGAGTTCCACGTGGTCCACGCATTCCACGGAGTCCTGGCTTTCCACGCTCTCCTGGTGCTCCTGGTTTGCCTGGTGCGCATGTGATGCATCCATTGAATGGAGCATTCTGTGCGTCCTCAGCGTTCTCTCCTGGGAATCCGTCTTGTCCATCGACTCCTGGAATTCCGTCTGGTCCTGGGGATCCTCCTGGTCCTGGTGGTCCAGCTGGGCATCCTCCGGTTCCGAGGGCATCATCTCCCTGTCCGTTTCCAGAGTTGCAAGAACATGTTGGTCCTGGATTGACTCCTTGAGCCTCGTATCCTCCGTATTGTTCCTTGCCTTGACGGCGTTGACGGTTGGAAACGGTGGCGGCTCCCAATCCGAGCATTTGAGTCCAGAGGTCATCAGTTGTCACCTAGATGAGTTTCATCGTTAAATGGATGTGTACATTGAAATAAATCGATTACCTTGAACTGATCCATCTCCTGATCGAGTTGCGACCAAATGGATTGAACATCAGAATAAATGGAGAAGATTGCATAAAGCGAAAGGATGAGAGTGGCCGAGGAGAGGCACAAAGCCCCGGCGGTCGCTTTAGTGACGCTCATTCGAGTCGACTCTGTTGTATCCGACTGTCTTCTTCCTTTTTATACCAGTCAAATGACAACTGGTTTCGCATAGAAAGGCGGCAATTAGGTTACCACATACAACTGGTCATGTCTCTCTTGTGATAAGGCTTGTAGGAGAACACAAGAAATATCCTAATTCATATTATCATTCTTATCACTTTCAACTGGAGAGGCGATCACATTCGGTTGGATAGTATACTTCAATCTTGAGGTGTGAGTCTTTTATTTAGGCGGGGAGGCACTGAGGGATTGAGGACCCGGGTACAGATGAGCAAAAGACAAGTAAATGCGATAAATCCTAGAATACTAATAACATCACAGACTACAATCGAGGTGGTTAGGAATCAAACATATATCTACAACGAACTAGAGTTAACAAAACGAAGATAGTATTGATATACGAAGATCTTAAATAGAGACCAATACATCTTGAAACCGATTCGAAGCTTTTGAAGACGACTGTCGGTTCGTCGGATCGCAAGTTGATGGGAGCTTCGAATGACGCATCTGGACATCTGTAAATATGAACTTAGAAATGATTTGAGGAACATAAACGAACTTCTAAATGACAGTCACTTGATCCGAAAACTCCTAATTTATGCTCAATATTTCGCATCAAATCGTTGGTCTTCAAAATCAAAAGCATTTCCCTCGGCATTCGAGCCAAGACTTCACTGATTTGTGGTATTAAAGAGGACGCATACATTCGAAGCTCGTCTTTTTCGCTCTCATTCATTTTCGATTTTCCGATTCCTCCTGTTACTGATTTCCAAGAACGACGAGTAACCATGCATGCGAATAGACCATACAGCTCTCCGACTCCCATTTGGCTAGCGACTTTCTAAAAAGAAAAATCAACATATCGGCTGAGCAGTGTTATCAACTTACACGAATCTCTTGGAGATCTGGTTTAAGAATAGCCAGCCACAAATCGGAATAGAGTCTCCTGATATGATCACTGATATTCAAGTATAAACCATGATCCAAAAAAATAATCTCATAATTTCCATTTCCCTTGCTGTTGATGAGAACATTTCCTGGATGTGGATCAGAATGCAAGTATCCTTGTAGGAAGATCATTTCAGAAATCGTTCTTCCTATTTTAACGCAGACATCGTGAGGATCAATTTTATGCTTTTTAAGATACTCGACATCATCTACATGAGCTCCTTCACAAAATTCCATTGTGAGCACTCGCTTTGTGGTCAGATCGTAATTGATTTTTGGAATTCGTAAAAACTTGAGATGCTTAAATCGTCTTGCCGCTTCATCTGCATTTTTTGCTTCATGTAGAAAATCCAATTCATTCGGAAGATTCTTTTTTATTTCATCTACAAGCCACATAAGTCGAAATTCGGGAAACACTGCATCGGCAACACTGACAAGTAGTTCCATCGTATTGACATCCGTCCTACTGTTTTTGTAAACTCGTTTGTGTTGAACTTTTACTGCGACTGTTTCTCCTGTTGTTTTCAGCTTGGCTATGTGAACTTGGGCCAGACTGGCAGCACCAACTGGTTTATCCGAGAATTCCGAGAAGATGTCGTCTACTTTGGCGTTCAATTCGGTTTCTACCACATAAACGACATCTTCCTTAGACGCTTGTGGAGCTTGAGAAGTCAGAACACTCAGTGTTTGTGTGTACTCGGGTGGTATCAGATATTCCATTCCAGAAATATGCTGTCCAACCTGAAAAAGGTCTCCAAATAAGAATAAAATCATGAATAGACTCACCTTAATGAATACTCCACCATTTGCACATGCTAGTTCCAGAAGACGTTCAGCGCTTCTCTGGTGACACTTTTGTATTGCATCATCGTATCCTTCTGATGGTGCAGGAAGTCCTCTCAAAGAGGTTTTGTAGTCTACAACAATTTTTCCCACCTGAAATTAGATGAAGGCTAATACTAGAAGTCAGAACTTCTGACTACTCACTGTCTTTGCAGCTCTTCCAAATCGAAATATTCCCAGTTGCCTCAGATCTTCAGGGGAATCTACAGTGTGTGCAGTGTATCCAGCTCCTGTACCAGTCCCTACTAGTAGAACCTACAAAAAATGGAAGTTCAGTAATTAATTTTATTCTCGAGAAAATACTTACTTTTGTGAACGGCTTTAAAGCTTGTAATTTTTTGAAAATCATAACACCGGGCTGAAATTAACTGAAAATGACGAAAAATCATCAAAATTGCAATTTTGTAACCGCGCCCCGTTGTGTGAGAAAAGAGTGTGCGGAACGCAGAGAGAGCAGACAATTTTGCAGAGAACTTTTGCGAACATTTTGATTCATGACATTTCGGTATCAATTTCAGCAGTTTCGAGAGATGTTTCGAGTTTGGAACTGTTTTTTTTATTCTTATGGCTAATCTTCTCATACCTCAAATAATGCGAAAACATCAGTTTATTAAAATAAAATTAAAACATTGCAGAATGAGTCTGAAGAAGATCATTGATGTTGGATCTGTTAACAATCTTCTCAAAAAAGGAATCATCAACAAGGAAGGGGTTCGGCTCATCGACTGTTCTTACGCTGTGTCTGCAAGATCTGATTGGAAAGAATTCGAACAAGAAGGATATGGAGAATTTAAGACACTGATGGCAGAATCAAGTCCGTGAGTGCTTCATGTTTGGAACTCTGCAGGAATTTATTCAGTTTTCTATTTTCTAATGAAAAAATCTTTACAACTGAAGATGTTTCAGAAGTCGCAGGTTGTATCATGCTGGCCATATTCCTGAAGCAGTACACATTGATCTAGATATCGCAACATATCCATCAAGATATCAGAGATTCCAACAGTATCGTGCAGATCTCTTTGAAAAATATGCGCAAATGGTTGGTCTCAACAACAAGGAACACTTTGTTTTTTATGGAAAAGGGGCTTTCGGAGGAATGCTTTTTGCATCCAAGGTTGCTTGGATTTTCAAATCCTATGGCCATGAGAACATCTCGCTCGTAGATGGTGGATTCGACTCATGGAAGAGGCATGGATTTGATGTATCGACTGAAGATGTGAAACTACCAGTTGGAAACTGGAAAGCTGAGGATGAATTCAAGAAATTTGTAATCACTTTCCAAGAATTGGATGCTAAAAAAGAAGGAGAAGAGAAGCAGTATATTGAAAAAACGTCTGAAATCAATTTCCTTGATAGCAGAATACGAGCCCAGTTTGAAGGAACACAGGACACTGGACTTGATCCTTATATGGTGAACGGCTGTCGGATCGCTGGCTTTAAAAATTTGCCAAGTTCCGAACTGCTGACAAAAGAAGGAACCCTGAAAAGTGAAGAGGAAATTAAATCATGTACGTTACTGGTAGAATTTGTTTAAGCCTTCTCAGTGGTCATTTTCAGGGCTCACTAAAAACGGCTACGTCGAAAATCAACCTGTTGTCACCTCATGCAACGCCGGGATTCAAGCTGCTCTTCTCGCTTACGTAATTGATACAGTGAAACCATCATCTACTCCACCACGTGTTTATAATGGATCTCTAAAAGAAATGGAGCTCAGAGCGCCGAAGAAAATTTCCGAAGGACCCCAGCATCTACATTGAAACATAATCCATTTCGTTATTTAGTTATAGTTTTAGTGTTCAATATTGGGGTTATTCACCAAAATGTAGAAAAATTCGGAGAAATGGAGAAAATTTCTCAAAACCGCGGAGAATGAACTAACCTCGCTGAAATTTCGGAGAAAATCGGAGAAAATT